ACAACTTATTACTCTGTGAAGTTGTACTATTGCATGCAGATGGTATTTTTTGTAATTTCACATCTATTTGTTGTACTTAGAAGGTGTTAATGATAAGAGGGAGACCGTAATATGATTAATTCTATGGGTTCAATTTATAGTTTGGTTAAACTTCAAGGAAGGTAAGTGCAATTAACCCATTTCGGAAAACCATACTACTGAAAGTTACAAAGAAGACGCACAAATAACTCATTCATAGTATAAGGACTAGTTTGCAGTGAACCCTAACTAGTGGTTGAATTGGGTCATTGTACGAAACACTGTAACATTTCTTACCATTGAAGTATAATGTAGGGAAAAAAGTGTAATAAGTGAAGAGCCTTTAATGGAAAATGAATTAGTGGGGGTGTCCGTGATCGTTAAACATAGTTAATTGATTTGTAACTTTGTATTTAGGAGAAATGGTATAACTTTTTGTGAGTTGGGAAACCTGTGGAATATGTTAGAAATTTAGCAATTTATAATTCAGTAAATATAAGAAACGACTATTAACTTTGTGTTTAGCAAATTTTATCAAATTTGTGCAGTAGAGATTGGACAGCGCATATTGACTATTAACAATAAAAGAAGAGACAAATGAATGTAGAATTCGTACTCATCAATAAGTATTAATAGAACATAAATACATTTAAAAAATGTGATTTCACGACGAACAATATTATTTAAGAGATGTGAGTAACAAGTAGTGGAAGTTTTCATTTATGCAGATAATAGTGAATTGGAAAAGGGAAACTAATTGGTGAGGTATATTGTGTTTAGTTACAAAATCAATTAAAATGACTACCATAAAGAACATTTACAAATAGATATGGCATGGCTTAAATTCAATAATTGTGATTGGTGTATCCGTTAATCATTCTGGATCCCACAAATTCTTACCAGGCACGTTGTGAGCAAGTTTGTACGTGACTTGTTTTCCTACCGAAAGTCAGACTACATCTGACTTGACGTACACACTTCCTATGATAGAGACTAGACTTGATCAAAGGATTCCTACTGTAGACGGATCCGAAATCACGATGCATTTTGGAGTCCCTCAACAATACTTCACTACATTCAAATCAATCATCATTCAGCTGTCCTCGCCACTCTGTGCCATCATTTGCTATGATCAATGTCTCCGTCTTTTTGTTTGTGCCATAGTTACAGTAGTATTTTGCTGTCTTATGATGTAAATTCTGTAGTGTATTTAACTAATCCAAGACAGGTGTGAAAATGTAAAGAATATGGCAAAGAAGCAGACACGTGGAAAGGTAAAGAATATGGCAAAGAAACTGACATGTACGGAGGATGAAGGAAATATTTCTACAAAAGCAAGTGGTGACCAATAAACTTGTTGGGGGATGGGGAAATGTTGCGTACTGCAGAAGTTGGAAATGTATTGGGGTGTGACGGAATTAACATAAATATAATGGGTCTACGAATAAAACACCAAAAAGGAAGCGTAAGCAGTACTAAACACAGCCATACTTGACTTTGAAGCAACATATGGTCATTATTGAATAACGAGTTGAGAGCCTTTAAGAAGTGAAACTTAAGAAAATAAATGTTTGAAATATTAAGTTTTTTAATTATCTAATTTATTTTGATTATAGACGTTCTAATATATAGTCATTTGGAGGACTTCTAAAGCTGAAGTATTGAATCCTTTTTGGACTTTTAATAAATTTGAGTTATTTTTCTTTTGATTTCTCACTTTTCTAACAACTTTTATCTAACCTACTAAATTTGAATTATTAAAATTGATTTTAATTGTTATATTAGTAAAATATTAACATTTGTGAAAACTGGGTTCGTGGGAAGACAGATTGTTGCCTGTTTCACATTTAATTGAATACAAATATCTCTACTTTACATAAAGCGTCCAAGGTTGAGGAACAGTGAATTCCAATTGATTCTCCCGATTATGGGCATTACATCAACAAAATACTATCTATTTATGGGCATTTTACTCTGAATCATTACATTTATGTAAAATACATAAATATTTATAACTAAAATTGAAAAACTGTTACACTAATATTTTTACGAAATGAAAATTGGTTGTCCTGTATTTAACATAAACTGATTTTTGTGAAAGTAAAAAACATATTGCCCATAACATACCTCCTCTTTATGATTTTTTTGCATTACATCAACAAAATACTAGTTATTTATGGGCATTTTACTCTGAATCATTACATTTATGAAAAATACATAAATGTTTGTAACTAAAATTAAAAATGTGTTACACTAATATTTTTATGAAAGGGAAACTAGTAAATTTTGTATTAACAAATTTTAAATATGTGAAAGTAAAAAAGTTTTGTCCATAACATACCAACTCTTTATGAGTTTTTTGCATTACATCAACAAAATATTAACTATTTATGGGTATTTTACTCTGAATCATTACATTTATGTAAAATGTTTGTAACTAAAATTGAAAAAGTATTATACTTATATTTTTAGGAAGGGAAAACTAGTAGATTTTGCATTTAACAAATTTTAACTATGTGAAAGTAAAAAAGATTGCGCCGATAACATACCAACTCTTTATGGATTTTTTTGCATTATATCAACAAAATACTAGCTATTTTTGGGTATTTTACTTTGAATCACTACATTTATGTAAAATACATAAATGTTTGTAACTAAAATTGAAAAATTTATACACTTATATTTTTACAAAAGAGAAACTGGTAAAATTTGTATTTAACATAAATTAAATATGTTAAAGCAATATTAAAGGTGATTTTATTAGTTACTTAATTTGTTGGTAAGAAACAAGGTTTCTTTTGCAAAATTTGTTCATTAGATTTTTCCAAATAATTAGGATATAAAGGTAAATTTTCACAATCTTTTGTTAGCAATAGACCCCAATTTCCTCCTAGGCAGTGATGAAGCCAAGATTTTTTCCTTGGATAGAGGGCCAAAATGATTGACAAATAAAATTATTTTAATATGTTATGTTCAAAATAATTTTCATCTATTTAAATATATGGCATCCTAAAATATCAAATATTAACTGTAATTATAAAGGTATGTCTATTTAATAAATATGTAGTATAGTCATAACTAAAATTAAGACAAGAAATAACATTTGATTAAATATCTTATAGGAAAAAATGCACTTTTCATCCTCAAAGTTTGGGTGGTTGGCCAATTTTATCCTCAAAGTTTCACCCCAAACATATTGCATCCTCAAAGTTTCGTAATTTTGGCCAATTAAGGAGAATTGATGAGAAATGAAGAATTGATCGTTAGAACCAATTATTTTACCCAACAAAAAATGGGTAAAACCGAATGGAGCCATTTTTAACGGAATAATTGCAACAGACAAAAAGCTCAATTCTTCTCCTTCTTCCCTCTGCCTTTCTGCAACCCCAAATTTTTTTTGCCAATCTCTGGAGTTTTAACGACCGTTATACAACTTTCAAAACAAATAAATTCATTCTAAATTTTTATTTGGGATTATTTCATAAACCAAATTGTGGTCACTTTCCGTAAAGTATAAAGTTCGCATAAAAGACTAACTCTTTATGGCTTTTCTCCATTATAAGAACAGAGTACCCATTTTTTCATAATTAAATTTATTTATCAAATAAAATAAAAATAAATCCATTTTCTAATAAAAGACCAGCTCTTTATGACTTTCCTCCATTATAAGAATAGAGTACCCATTTTCTCATAAATAAATTTATTTATCAGATAAAATAAAAATAAATCTATTTTTCAATAAAAGACCAACTCTTTATGGCTTTCCTCCATTATAAGAATAGAGTACCCATTTTCCCATAAATAAATTTATTTATCGGATAAAATAAAAACAAACCCGTTTTTTAATAAAAGACCAGCTCTTTATGACTTTCCACCATTTTAAGAACAGAGTACCCATTTTTTCATAAACAAATTTATTTATCAGATAAAATAAAAATAAACCCATTTTTTCAATAAAACACCAGCTCTTTATGACTTTCCTCCATTATAAGAACAGAGTACTCATTTTGAAGGCAAAAAGGAATTTGTTTATCGGATGAAATAAAAATAAACTCATTTTTCAATAAAACACCAACTCTTTATGACTTTTCTCCATTATAAGAAAAGAGTGCCCATTTTGTCATAAACAAATTTATTTATCGAATAAAATAAAAAGATACCCGTTTTCCAATAAAACAACAGGTCTTTATGGCTTTCCTTCATTTTAAGAAAAAAACACGGTTCTATGGGCATGCAAGAGAGAAGGTTCTTGTGTAAAGTTCTTATAGGAGAGGCTACGGTGCATGGACATACAACAAATGGAGGAGCCGACGGTGCAAGGATTCAGTGATTTGAATCAGCTGCTGCTGGATTAATTTAGATTATGGTTAACAAACTCAATGATTTAGTCCGTCTAACTTAGAGAGAAAATGGGTGACAGTTGGATGGTGTTTCGACAATGATAAGATTGGCGCCAGTGATTCTTATTGGAGAAGATGCATCACTTGTACCTGTCTGTTCAGTCGGACGCTACTTCCACAGGTATTGAATGGTGTTGCTTCAATGGTGGCCCACCTCTCAATGTGATTTTCAATGGGATAAGATTTGCACGGTACATGTAGCAAATTGTCATGGCCCCTGTTCCTTCACATGTGTGTAGAGGCGGTAATTGTCATGGATTGCTTACAACTTATTCCCTCCAAACCTTTTCTTATAATGGAGTTTCTAATTTTATCCAAGTAATAAATTACTTCAATGAAAAAAGGAAAAATAAAAAATTTATGGAGGAAAGTCACAAAGAGCTAGTGTTTTATTGGAAACCATCGACCCCTTACCAAAGACGATCAAATGCAGCTAAATGATTTTCTTGCAAGAAAGTTGCCGAAAGCAACTTTGTGACTGTAGTTGCTACTTTTTTTTTTCAACCATTTTTTTAGCAAGAGGTATCATTAATGTCAATATTGAGATATAACAAAATTTGTATACGAAATAACAAACCAATTTGTCATTACAAATACAAAACGAGCAACAATATATTACAACCAATACTATCAACAGTACAAAGCACAAAGATACTCAAATCAAATCCTAATTAGGCTTTAATATGTACAACCAAAATTGCTAGGGATAACAAATGCTAAGATAGACCCTGTGTCGATATACAATGAGTATCATGTTTGCATTAATTGGCGAAGTCCATAATCGAAGTAGCTTGTAAGAGCTTCATAGCCAGGTTTACTACAATCCACCATCAACCTACAGAGTCCAATGGAAAAAAAAATTATTAAACAGAAATTTACATTGGTAGTTAGATAAATTAAACCCGCATTAGCCTACATATATCAACTAAGACATTGATCCTCATATTGTTGCATGAAAAGAAATGAAAATGAGGGACTTTAAAAGAAATGCTAAGGATTACTTTTATTAACCACAAGTACAAAATGTGAACTGAATTTCAAACTACAAGTTGGTAGCATGTACTTAAGATGAATAAATCATTATGACCCCAATTGACATGAAACCAATTGTAAAGTAACGCCAAGGCTGTTTCCTTTAACACAAAAATAGTAAATGCATTCACCCATTGCAGCTCATTCAAAATTGAGAAGTAGCTAAGCAAGCGTAACATTTGGACTTGGAAAGCATGAAATGAACTTGGAAAAAGGAATTAGATTTTACTGCCAACAAGGCTTCCAAGGTGCAAATAGCCAATGAGAACCTTTTTTTCTAATCCTTATTATTTTTGTCCAGTATGTTCACTTAAAAGAAAACTATATTCTATTTACTAGATCTTTAGTTAAGAAATAAACAAAAAATTAAATCATCAAAAAGCAAAAAGACCAAAGGCATTAAAACTTGCACAAACATTCAGGAGGAGGAGAAGTTATCACCTAAGAGAATCACATGCAGCGCAATGAAAGCATTAGAATTAGCCCAAAGGAAGGGAAAAAATATGCTTCACGAATGGTCCTACAACACCGAAACACAAAACAATAGATAATGATGAACCACCACAAACCAGTCCAAAGACAAGCAAAATCACCTACACCATCAATCCTAATCACCAACCGGAGTAGAAAATCATCCAAAATTTCAGTTAAGTCACCGAATAAATAAGGCTTAAATCTTAGAACATGTCATAATCAGTGTTTAGCATTCAAAAATTGTGTAAGATACAGGGGGTTTGGAACAACAAAAGGGGACAACTAGGGCTGGGCAACGAGAGGTACAGAGGAATGGGAGCGAGAGTGGTAAAGAGAGGAGATTGAACAATACGACAAACCAGGGGAAAAATCAAATCATGGAAGGAAGAATTGGGGAAAAATCAAATCGTGGAAGGAAGAATTCTAGTATGAAAATATGTTGGAGACTACCTGAAATCTTAGATCTGAAATTTTGACGGGCCGTTTTCATTTTGCCTTCCAGTAAAACCCCTTTCTCTACTCCAACTGAGATGCCCATTCACTCTAATCCACTGAAGTAGAAGCCCACAATTTCAAAAAGTTTATCTTGCGATTGTTAAATTGACCAAAAATGCAAGAAAAAGGCAATTGACAAAACAAAGATGAAAATAACATATTAAAAAACCTACACCATCTCTTTTCCTTGAAGTCTGCCATTGCATCGGAAGGGTCTTTAAAGTGTGTCCATGATTGTATAAATTCAGATCTGGATGCTAGAGAGGAAGAGGGGAACCATATGTCTACGGGAAACTGAAAATTGATAGAGAGGGAAAGAGAGATAGAGGGAGAAAGGTGCAGGGGAGGTTGCGATTGAACTTTCGAGGGCTCTGATCTGAGAACAATATTTGGGAAAGTAGCCTTGCAAGTATGGAAGGCTTGGAATTCATGTGGTGCTAGGCTTGACAAGTGCTGTGTCGGGAATGGTTAAAAAATTTTCAATGCGCGGCTCTGCTAAAAATTGGAAGGGAGCAAAATTTTGAAATTTTCACAAAAAGCACCCATGATTTCTCACCAATAACATAGAAACTTTGGCCCGCTAGAATCAGTATTTGGAGGGAAGCTTTCTCGTGCTCCTTTTGGCGAGAATTTTAAGCGAGAAAAGTCCTTGCCCTCACAGAGTATATGATGGCTCCAATTTTTGGTGAGGTATTGTCCTTTTCCTTGCTATAAGCCTCTTAAGAGCGTCAAGCTTTCTACTTCTTGCTAAAGTTGTTGTCGCTAATACCCTTTTTTGTTGTAGTGAACGGAGGAAAACCATAACGAACTGGTGTTTTATTGAAAAATATATTTATTTTTTCATCCGATAAATAAATTTATTTATGAAAAAATGGATACTCTGTTCTTATAATAGAGGAAAACTATAAAGAGCTTGTGTTTTATTGAAAAACGGATTCATTTTTATTTTATTCGATAAATAATATTTTTTTTAGAAAAATGGGTACTATATTCTTATAATGGAGGAAAGTCATAAAGAACTGGTTTTTTATTGAAAAAAGAGTTTATTTTTATTTTATTCGATAAACAAATTTGTTTATGGCAAAATGGATACTCTTTTCTTATAAGGGAGGAAAGCCATAAAGAGCTGATGTTTTATTGAGAAACGGGTTCATTTTTATTTTTTCGATAAATAAATTTTTTTTATCCGATAAATAAATTTGTTTATGGCAAAATGGGTACACAGTTCTTATAATAGAGGAAAGGCATAAAGAGTTAGGATTTTATTGAAAAATGGGTTTATTTTTATTTTATCTGATAAATAATTTTTTTTTAGGAAAATGGGTACTCTGTTCTTATAATGGAGAAAAGTCATAAAGAGTTCATTTTTTTTATTGAAAAACGGGTTTATTACAATTTTATTCCAGCCAACTGTGACCCATTTTCCCACTAACCTAAGTTAGACGGACTAAATCATTGAGTTTGTTAACCACAGTCAAAATTAACACAGAAGCAGCTGACTCAAATCACTCAATCCTTTATGGCTTATACCAAATGAATACTAGGAAGCTTATTTGAAATAACAATAAAATATTTTATAAATGATTAAAATTTAGTACATTAGTTAGTAAGTACTCGTAACATACTTGTATAATGCATAATTATATGTATAATTTAATATTCTTTTGTACTTATATATTTTAAAATATTTTGTGAAAAATATTTTGACCATTCACATAACCTTAGAAAATAATAAAATTTTATCATATTATAAAATAATAATTTTATCTTATTATATTCATAGGTGTTAAGTTATAAAAATTGTGATATAGAAACAAGTGATATTCTACATGTAACTAGGAAGATTTGTTATTATTGTTATCCAAACTTTCAAATTTTTCAAAAATTGAAAATGATTACAAACTTACTTTTCTACAATTAGTATAATTTGTTAATTAGCCAAAATTCTAGCAAAAGGCAAGCTAATGCAACTTGTAATCAATCCATTCTGATGCATGTAAAAATAAGGTAGCATTGTGCAAATAAATAAAAAAAAATCCACTTTATATAGTTCGTTGTGACAACCAGGCTTATCCCCACTCCCCACTTTTGTTTGAGTTTTGATTACAATGGATATAACCTATTCCCTCCAAACCCCAAATTTTGAATTATAACATTCAACCAAAACATGCTCAAACTCCCAGGCTCGGTCATACAAGGACAACTAGTGTGAATATCCGTGCTACGCACGGTGCTTACATTATTAAAATAAATTAAAAAATTATACCATTTTAATTTGAAAAAAGTTAAAAAAATTATACCAACATAATTAAAATTTAAGATTTGTCTAACAATAGTTCAAAGTATGACAAAAACTGTAAATCATTCAAGAATTGTGTTTTTGCGGAAGATGGATCTTAAAATAATAATAATAATTTATATTAGAAAATGAATAATATATGGATAGAAATAAATGTAATTGCATGTTTTATTTGATTTTAAAATGAAATACTTACCAACATTATGCATTCGATTTGATAATCTTGTACAAAGGTACGAACATTTTTTACACCAATCAACTTTTAGTATGAAAATTAATATTGGTTGTTTAATTAATTCTATTGAATTTTGAAGAATTTGTACTACAAAAAAAGTTCAGCAAGACTTGTATTTTTTTTGAAGTGAACTTGCTGAATCTTTTTAAAATATTTCATTGGGATCACTATGGTGTGAGGTTCGCTTTGTGATTAGTTATTTTTTTTCTTTGTAATCTTGTAGGTTTGAAATTAAGATGCCATTGAAATCAATAATGGAACCAATGGGGGCTAATGGAGGTCATAGCCCTCCTCCCCAAGTTTTAAAAATTTTAATTCATATTATATAAATATTTGTGTAAAATAAAACAGGTCCTCCAAATTTATTATAATTTTAGTTTATATTATGAGAATATATATAAGTATATATGTGTGTGTGTGTGTGTGTGTGTGCGTGAAATAACTACATTTGGGTGGGATCACCATAGTGTAAAATTCATTTTGTGATCAGTTATTTTCTCTTTTGTAATCTTGCAGGTTTGGAACTAAGACGCTACTGAAATTTGTTTGGATAGAGTGTTATTTAAAATATTATTTGAAATAATTACGATAGTACTTTTTGTGATATGATATATGTGAGATAAAAAGGTGGGTTGAAAAATGTGTTTATGATGTAAGCAAAATATTATTTGGAAAAATCTGCTATCCAAACACTCCCTAATAGGGGCTAATCAGGGCCATAGGTCCCTTCTTCCCAAAGTTTTAAAAATTTTAATTCATATTGTGTAAATATTTGTGTAAAAAAAAGTTAGCCCTCCTAATTTTTTTATAATTTTAGTTTATATTATGAGAATATATATATGTATATATGTATGCGTGTGTGTGTGAATTAACTACCTTTGAATTAATTTTTTATTAAAAAATTATTTATTTTTTAATCCCTTTATAATTTGTGAATGATTGTGAGAGTAAAATATATTATGACAATAAGATACGTTAAATTGTGAAAATTGTAATTTAAACAGACTACTAAATTTTGGATATTTGACTTTTGTAGTTGCGAATTTCTTAAATTAACGATTAGTTATTACTATCAGTGATATGATAAGTGTCAGTAATAAATGTGAGATGTGAATTGAAATTTGCATATATCATTTTACAGGGGTGGTTATTATCTGTTAGTTAAAGTTTATGAGTTTGAATTTTATGGGGTAGTGGAAAAAACGTGAGGAAAATGTGGGAAAAATATGAGCATGATTATAGGATTTGTAGGAGCAGTTACATGATTAGTTAAGAGATAAACATTTTTTAATTATAAAAATGTAAAATTCTATTAAAATAGCATTCAAACTTTTGACAATTTTGGAAGCTCCTTATCCAAAACCCTCTCAGCAATACATATAGATATACTAAACGATAGTTATGGTAGCGAAATAGTTTTTACCTAATATAATATGTTGTTGCACTTTTAGCGATCATTTGATTTATTGTTGGACCTATTCACCTAAATAGAATAACACCTAAAATTATGGAAGTAAGTTTCCTATCTAAAATAGTAAGTTAAGCCTAATAAATTAGTAACTTTTATACCTCAAAAGGTAAATTGGAATAAATATTAAACTTAATTTTTAAATAAATAGATTACTACTTTATATCCCAAACTTACTTTTAAAAGAGTAAGTTTAGTTCAAATAACAGTAGTAAGTTTTTATACATAAATAGTAATTCTTACTAATAACATGGTAATAAAAATGATTAAGGATCAAAATTTACCAATTTTTGGAATACATGTACAATTTTTACATTAAAACCTTATCTCAAAGTAGTATTAGGAAGTTTATTTGAAATAATAATAAGATGTTTTATTAATGATTAAAACTTAGTACCTTAGTTAGTAAGTACTCATAATATACTTGTATAATAAATAACTATGGGTATAATTTAACAAACCAGATTTACGGGTCTTATTTAAAACAAAGTAATAGTTTATTCATTATAAATTTAATGCTTAAATTTATTAAATTCTTCATTTTATATGCTTACAGTGTTTAAGTTCTCCGCCAAGTTTAGCACCTTTTTTGCTGCCCTTACTTTCACTTACGACCCTCTCACTTTGACAGTTGCTTATTTTTGACACTTCACATTTCATCTTTACACTTTGGAATCCCCTCAACTTTTCCTATCCCTTTTCTACTTAACTTCAATGCCCAACAAGTCTTCAAGTTTCAGGTCACAAAAGACCTTTACACGTGTCTATTCAACACACTTTCCCTACCATTTGTGGCCACAATCATACCGCAGCAACTTTCCACACCTCTTCTCTGACTCTAAACATACCGCAGCAACATCCGTCTTATGATACAACAAATACTTTTGTTTATTATGCAGATGTCAGATCCTAAGTCTTGACATCGTAAATTTAAAAGAATTTGGGATTGGGAAAGAATTAGAAATGTGCACAAATTATAGCTAAATAAGCTCCATTCGTCTCCTTTTGGATGTCCTTTACACTAAAATGTTCAGAAAAATCACTAAACATGTTCTAAGCTTTTATTTTTTTTTTTTGGCATATGTTTACAAAAATGTTAAGTATCATGATTAAAAAAAAAACTATTTTCATAACAGCCATCTACTTGGGAGCCTAGATAATCGGACAAAGTGAATGGCCATGTGTCCCTACATACAACTAAAAGCAAATCTTACAGTAAACAAAACTGGATCAATTTCAGATCAGGACATTTATGTGCATTAGCAAATATATTGTGTGAAATAGTGGATTCACATGACCTTATGAACAAGTATTTAGATTATTCGCTTTATGCACCTGAGAGAGGTTGCAGATGTTTGGTGTTAACTTTATGAATTGAATAAAGGGATAATTTCACTAGCTTTCCTTTAGGTTTCGTGAATTTTACCATCCTCCCCTATCAAAATTTT